GATTCAAATTCCTCCTCACTGCCTGTGAGGGAAGTTAATTGGCCTCAGTGAGTTTCAGTTTCCTTCCCTGTAAAATGGAGATAATAGTAGAATTTAGCATTTCGGGTTATTGTGATAATATATTCACAGTATTACCAGAGATGAGTGTTCTTGAGGACTGCCAGGCTCCACTCTCACTGTTACCCTCCTGCATATATTCTCTTTTCTCTCCGCTTTTGCAGAATGTGTAAAAACACCCATCACCTGACATCTTTCCTTCCCCTCCTTTGGAGCAATATGTCTCCAATATGCTGCCCTTCATTAGGCCCTGATTGTTTTTCTTTTTCTTTTTTCATTCTTTCTCCTATTCTGAAACTTCACTTTGTTCTCATTTTGCTCAGCAGTGTTCATCTTCATTTGCTCCTAATTCCCAAAGAAATTAGTGACAGACCTTGTTTGTTCCTTCCCTGCTGGGGACACAGCCATCTTCCCTTCAGGTCCACCCACCTTTCCCCAGGAAAGGCTCAGGAGAACTGAGAACTCCTTGCTTCAGCTAGAATTGACCAGATGGGCTTTTCTCCCAATGTTAGAAATATTTGAAAATGGGCCACTTTTGAAAGATACTTGAAAGTATTAAAGCATTGTAGAATTTGCATTCTGTTGGAGAGAACTTTGTGATAGTTTAATTTTGTATATGTTTTGAAAGTTTCATTAATTTTTCTAGAACACAAACTATATCACAGAAAAAATTACCTAACTTCATTTTACAAAGAATCACTGGATATGAACAGAAATTTTAATCATGATATTCTTCTTGAACACGCAACAACAAAACAACCAACTGATTGATTTTTTCACATGTAATATATTGAAATAAGCTTCCTTTATTGGATACTTATTATATATTAGACATATTACTAAGTATGACCTTAATTTATTCATAAAAAAGAAAAACCCAACTGTAGATACTAGAATTATCTCTGTATTACAGATGATAAAACTAAGGCTTAGAGAAGTTACATGACTTCAGTAAGGTCAGACAGCAAATAAGGGTAAAGCTAAACTAGTCTGACTCTAGAGCATAACCTCAATATTACTATTTTTTTATTTTTGAGATGTAATTGATGTATAAATTATTTTAGTTTCAGGTGTACAATATAATGATTCTACATATGCACCTATTACAAAATGATCACTGCAGTAAGTCTAGTTCACACCTGTTACCACACATAGTTACAATTTCTTATGTGTAATTTTATGATCTACTGTTCTAGCAACTTTCAAATATGCAATACAGTATTATCAACTATAATCACTATGCTACATATTACATCTTCAGGACTTATTTATTTTTAGCTGGAAGCTTATACATTTTGACCACCTTTACCCATTTTGCTTAGTGCTTACTATTCTCTGGTAACTAGTCTATGTAAGGAAAATGTTCCTGGTAAGGAAAATTTAGCTTCTGAACCAAATCCATAGGTTCATCTTCTTTTTTTAATCCTCACCTGAGGATATGTTCATTGATGTTAGAAAGAAAGAAAGGGAGAGAGAGAGACAGAGAAACAGAGAGACAGAGAGAGAAACATAGATTGGTTGCCTCCCATATATGTCCTGACTGCAGATTGAACCCACAACCTTTTGGTGTATGGGACAATGTTCCAACCAACTGAGCCACCTGATCAGGATCATAGGTTCATCTTTTTAAAACTAGTTTCATCTGGCAAGCGTGGCTCAGTGGACTGAGTGCCAGACTATGCAGCAAAGGGTCACCAGAATGATTCCCAGTCAGGGCACATGCCAGGGTTATAGGCTAGATCCCCAGTAGAGGGCACATGAGAGGCAGCCACATGTTGATCTTTCTTTCCCTTTCTTTCTTCCTTCCTTCCTTCTCCTCTCTCTAAAAAGAAATAAATAAAATCTTAAAAAAACCCTAATTTTCAATTGTCAAGGAGCTTATTCATAAGCTACGTGAATTTATTAGGCATCTATCATATAAAAGTCATCCTTTCCCTCCTTTTTCCTTCTTGCCCCCAAGAAATCCACATATGAACCCTATTCACTTTATTTTAGAAATGTGTCTCAAGTGGATCCAGTTCTCTCCTTTTCCTCCTCTCTCCCCCTATTTCATGCTAATATCATCCCTGTTCCCTGGGTGATGGTAACAGCATTCTAACTTATTCTAATATGTAAATATGATGTACGTTTCTACATTTATTAACTGCCTCTTTCATCACCATGTTAAATCCATGAGGGCAAGGACATTGTCTTGTTCAACCTTGTATCTCCAGGACATAGATAGTGACCAGACATGGTGAAGAGCTCACTAAATAGTTACTGGTTGGATGAATTTAACAATGGGTATGTAAAGAAAGTACATTCTGCCCTGGCTGGTGTGGCTCAGTGGATTGAGCACTGGACTGCAAATCAAAGTGTTGCTGGTTCAATTCCCAGTTAGGGCACATGCCTGGGATGCAGGCCAGGTCTGCAGTAGGGGAGGCAGGGCACGAGAGCCAACTACACATTGATGTTTCTCTCCCTCTCTTTCTCCCTCCCTTCCCCTCTCTCAAAATAAATAAATGAAATATTAAAAAAATAAAGTGCATTCTTTACCCTTTTAGAATGTTCTATATATCAGTGGAAACAGACACATAGCAAACATATAATATAGAGTGCTAAGTGCTATAAAAGGGATATACACAATATTTAGTTCATAGTGGTACAATATAGCAGGGGAGCAATTCTATACTTGGTGGCAAAAATATGTGCATGCTTAGAAAGATCTTCTAGGCTAAAGAAGAGTTTACCAGGTGGAAGATGAGACAAAATATTCTAGGTAGAAGAAACAATGTGTGCAAAAACGGGGAGGCAGGTGCTGATTATTGGGATGGAGAAGATGACTATAAATATCTTGAATTGGTCAGAGCCAATGGAACATATGGGGAAATGGCTGGGGTAGGGATGGTAGAGGGATGGGAAGGGGCCTTACCAGGAATGCATAAAATATGCCATGCTAAGCAGTTCATACTTTATTCTACAAATAATTGGGATGCTATAAAAGAACTTGAAGCAGAGGAATAAGAGATTAATGTTTTAGGAAAAAATAAGGCTAGTGAAGTGAGAAGAGTAGATTGCAAAAGTTTGAGATAAGCTGATCTATTAGATTTCATTGCAAGACTTCCTTTTCTGGTTGGTATGAAGTAACAAGCCTGGCTTTACCCTCCTGACTGAAGCAAAGACCAATGATATTTATAAAATGATGGCTTGGAAAAGCACTGGACATCAGACAACAAAGGACAAAGATCCCTATGAAGCAGGAAACAAATGAGTTGAGGCCTATGACTGATTGCTCCAGGTTATGACCTTGAGAAAGTTTCCAAACTGTGCAGCAGGCAGGGAAACCAGGCTGGGTTCAGAGGCCTCCCTGACTGAGAAGACAGAACTAAGATTCTGGAGATTTTGGACAGCTGAGTTCATAGGACAGAGAGGAGAGAGCTAACAGAGAGGGAGAGCCTGGAGATCTGCAGACTCCCTCCCTCTCCAGTATTCATCAGAGTGCTGATTGATCAGCACAGGTGTGAGGCCAGAGAAAGAACCATTCTAAGGATTAGAGAGAACAGGACCTAATACTCTTGCAGTACCTCTTCCCACCACCTGGACTAGAAAAAACTAATAATTCGTTCATTGGACAGATCAAACAGGAAGGTTTTGTCTCAGTACTCCAGAATAATTATCCCTAGACTGAACACTGCTTGTGACTTGACTAACTTATCAAGAAAACTAGACCTGAAGACATAAAACTGTTTCATGTTTCTATAACTGCATGCCAGAGCAATGCTCAATAAGACTTATAGAAATATAAAAAGACTCAGTATGCAACAGGTAAAATTTACAATGGCTGGCATCCAAGTAAAGATTTCCAGACATGCAAAGAAGTAGGAAAACATGGTCCATAGTAAGAGGAATAACCAATCAATTGAAACTGACTGGGAACCCACACAAATGTTAGAATTAGCAAAGAATGGCATTAAAAGTTATTATTATTGCTATATTTAAAAAATGAAGTAGAGATGCAGAAGATATTTTTTAAAAAACCAGAATTGAACTACAGATGAAAAATACTACCTGGATTTTCTGACCATTGGATGAGACTGTGGAGGCAGAAAGGGAGAGGGAGATTGGGTGGCATGTACTGCTTTAACAAGAACAAGAAATAAGAAAGGAAAGAAGTGAATGAGATGGGGGAAATTGAATTTAGGGTTTACTGACTTTGAGGTACTTACTCCATGATAGAACTCTAAGAAACTCCAATATTTAAGAGGCAAAAAGAAAAAAAACTATAAAATGATTGAGAAAGTGTGGTCCTGGAAGGAGAGGAAGAGCAGGGATAAGAGACTTCATGACTGCCCAAATTTCAAGGAGGAAATGGTTGGCATGACTACTACAGCAGAGATTAAGTAGGAGAAAAGCTGAGAAGTAGCCAATGTGGCTCCTGGACCTGGCAGGTAGGAGATGATCTTGCCTATGTGATGGAAGGGACCCTATCTGTTTGCTCACTGCTGTATACCCAATGCATATTTCACAGTTTCTGGAACAGAGTGAGTGTTCAAACCCATCTGGTGAATGGATGAATGAATTCAATAAAGAGCTATGACATACCCTGTGCCTGGCAGAACCTTTTTGTGATCAGAATTGCAGCAGTTTAGTGGGATCAGAAGTGTGGATGCTAGACTACAGTGGATTTGGTGAAGACTGGAAATAAAGAAAAAGGCCACAGGAAGATGCAGGATCAAGAAAAACTTTTGTTTGGTGGGCGGAGGGCAATGGAACAAAAGCTAATGGCTTATCTCCACATGGCCTCACACCTTCCAGCTGACTACCAACCACACTTCCAAGGGTTTGTCTCCTGCGTAATCACCTGAAGATTAAAATTCCAGAACATGTCTGATTGATTTACCTCAAGGCATATGGTCACAATCAGATGGCTTTCTGAATATGTAACTTTATTTATTTATTTTTAAATTTGTAGCAGTACTTAGTGTCCAACAGAAGCTACCCCATCTGTTAAACAATATCCGAACTGCAAAGCTTCTCCTAGTGTTGGTGAATAGAAAATGACACAGGACAGTCATCATCACCGTGACAACAGTGCCCAGGAACTATCAAAGGAGAATTGCACATGAACAGCAGGTTCTCAAGCAGTCATGACTCAGCTTCCTCTGCAGTATGTTTTCTCTGCAAATTTGGTGTGCTCTAGGGTAATAAAAATGTAACTTTAATCACCCCCATTCACTTTTAGTAAAGTTGGCTGGACTTGAAGAAGGATGACTCTAGGAAAATAATCTAGTATGTTTTTCTTTTCTTTCTTTCCATCTTCAGTGAGTACTTTATGCATTTGCTATGTGCCAGGCACTCATTAGGAAAAAGAGATATAGGTAATAAGGAGCTAAACCAGACACAGGTTCTGCTTCCCTGGAGGGTAAGACTGAGGGCAGGCCTGAGATGACCTCTGAAAATGAATTACTATTCGTTTGACCCAGAAAATCAGACACAGGCTCTGTTCCCCTTTGTAGGACTGTGGTTTGCAATTGCATAATCATTAATTTAAATGTTCTGAAGGAAATGAATGCCTCTAGGAACGTGTATAACAAAGTATTCTGATCTGACTCGTGGCTGAGGACTTTCTGTAGGAAAAGATGCCAGAACTGAAATCTGAGGGATGAATGAGAGCAATGACTAACAGTGCTACCAGTGTGTGCAAAGGGCCCATGGCTGGAGGGAGCCTGAGTTATACCCTAATAGCAACTCATCCTGAAAATGTGACTTCTCTCTCAGCATCTGGCAAGTTTGACAAAAGTACAGGTTTATAGATGATGCTACCTGTTCCTATTTGTGATATCAGTATACTTCAATTAATGAAAGAAAAATTAAAATGTGAGTTAATTACGTTGCCTACTTTTCTGAGAACACAAATGATTACTTTTTTTTGGTATTTTAACTGATATATACTTAGAGGTTTAATATAAATTTTGCAGTAAAAGTTAAGTCAAATTTTATCAAGTTGTGGCTTCCTATGGTATGATATTCAGGACCATGTTATGTAACTCACAATAAGGTAAAAACATACTTTAAAGCAAGTTTAAGAACTTTATTTTAGTTTTTCCTGTAAGCAGCTTGATGGTTTGCTACTCACTTGACCCAGAAAATGCCCGCAAAATCACGCAAATCAAGAGGTTCATATCTTTATGTTCAGTTTAAGAACATTTGTGAAACTTCCCAGGCCATCAAGGGTATGCATATCAGAAAAAGCCACCAAGTATCTGAAGAAGGATGTCACTTTACAGAAGCAAAGTGTGCCATTCAGTCATTAGAATGGTGGAGTTGGTAGGTGTGACCAAGCCAAAAATTGGGGCTGGATGTGAGGTCAGTGGCCCAAGAAGAGTGCTGAATTTTTACTGCATGTGCTTAAAAGTGCAGAGAAAAATTCTGAATTTATGGGTTTAGATGTACAGTCTCTGGTTATTGAGCACATCCAGATGAACAAAGCTTCCAAGATGTGGCCCAGAATTTAGAGAGCTCATAGACGGATTAACACATATATGAGCTCTCTCTGCCACATTGAGAAGATCCTTACAGAAAAATAGCAGGTTGTTTTTAAACCAAAAGAGGAGGTTGCACAGATGAAGATATACCAGATGAAACTGAAGAAACAAAAATTTATGACCTGGGAATAAATTCAGCATAAAATAAATGCAAATTAAAGTTTAAAAAAGACAAAGTATTTATTTATTTGCTTATTTATTTTTGATTCCAGAGAGAGAGATAGAGAAACATCTATTTGTTTTTCATCCCACTTATTTATGCACTCATTGGTTGATTCTTATTTATGGCCTGACTGGGTATCAAACCCACAACCTTAATGTATTAGAATGATGCTCTAACTAACTGAGCCACCTGGCCAAGGCTAAGAATTTTTATTCTAAATGAACTGTTCTCTGTAGAGAATAATTATATGCAATTTGCATAAACTGCAAGAGCCCACACAGATGTTTTCATATTTGTGCTTATAATGATTAAATATAACACCTTAAAGCTTATCTACTAAATAGAATTAAATGTTTATCATAGACATAATTATTTTGCTTGGGCTTTAAAAATTCTAGCATATTATTAACAGTAAGATAAAATAGTCATGAAAACAAAACATAGATTAACTTTTGTAATTTTTCTTTAGAAACAATTGTCATGCACAAATACCTACTTCACATACAAGTTAATACACAGAAGCATTTTTAATATTAGTACAAAGTTTCAATATTGCATTGGGCCCTATTTTCAAATTCCTTGGATTTTGGGGAAAACATTTTAAAAAGTCATTCATTATCACCATCCAGTTTTAGAACACTACCATTACTCAAAAAAGTTTCCTCTTGAATGTATGTTTTTCTTTTGAGACAACCATAAGCTGAAAAGAAAGAATAATTATATGTAAATTACTAGACTAAAAGTCTGTTGTTGATTAAACAAGCCCATGGATCTCAAAAATCCAATTTCAAAAATAAATGACATTAATCCACACTCCCTCCTCTGCCCCCAGGCAACCACTGATCTACTTTTTGTCCCTTTACAGAAGTTTTTGACCTAGATAAATTCAACTGGGCCAGGAAAATATGTGGGAGAAATTGTATATACTGTAGTTTAACATGTACTTCATGGCACATAATAAATGGAGTCTCTGGTACATACCATATATAAATGTCTGTGAATGTATTGTAATTACTTTTTAATATTTGGACTCTTACTCGTGTGTAAAATACTATGTCCTTAAGAATTACAAAGACGAGAAATATATCCAATTTTATCCCTTTTGGTACTTTACTCAAATCTTCCTGAATGTTTCCATTGTCATCGAGAGCCCTCCGTAATTGTCACTGCATCTGTTGTTCCTTTCTGGGGGTATAAATACCACCACCTTATAAAGTATGAAAGCCCTGAAGTTATCTCTCTTCAAGTCTGCGTGAGCCCATTTGGGTTCAATGTTATTGCAACAACAAACAAAAATTTTTCAATTAATCACATAAATGTTCTTCTTTCTCCTTTCTTGACATTTTTTTCTTGTTTAAATTTTTAAAATATATTTTGTTGATTATGCTATTACAGTTGTCCCATTTTCCCCTCTTCACCCCCCTACATCCTGCACACTCCCTCCACCCACATTCCCCCTCTTTAGTTCATGTCCATGGGTTGTACATATAAGTTCTTTGGTTTCTACTTTTCCTATATTATTCTTACCCTCCCCCTGTCTATTTTGTACCTACCATTTATGCTTCTTATTCTCTGTAACTTTTATCCCTTTCTCCCCCTCCCACTCCCCTGTTGATAACCCTCCATGTGATCTCCATTTCTGTGGTTCTGTTCCTGTTCTACTTGTTTGCTTAGTTTGCTTTTGTTTTTGTTTTAGGTGTGGTTGTTAATAATTGTGAGTTTGCTGTCATTTTACTGTTCATATTCCTTGTCTTCTTTTCCTTAGATAAATCCCTTTATCATTTCATATAATAAGGGCTTGGTGATGATGAACTCCTTGAACTTGACCTTATCTGAGAAGCACTTTATCTGCCCTTCCATTCTAAATGAAAGCTTTACTGGATAGAGCAATCTTGGATGTGGGTCCTTGCCTTTCATGACTTGGAATACTTTCCAGCCCCTTCTTGTCTGCAAGGTCTCTTTTGAGAAATCAGCTGACAGTGTGATGGGAACTCCTTTGTAGGTAACTGTCTCCTTTTCTCTTGCCACTTCTAGCATTCTCTTATCTTTAATCTTGGGTAATGTAATGATGATGTGCTTGGTGTGTTCCTTCTTGGGTCCAACTTCTTTGGGACTCTCTGAGCTTCCTGGACTTCCTGTAAGCCTATTTGCTTTGCCAGATTGGGGAAGTTTCCCTTTATTATTTGTTCAAATAATTTTTTCCCTTGTTGTTCCTCTTCTCCTTCTGGTACTCCTATAATTCAGATTTTGGAACATTTAAAGATGTCCTGGAGGTTCCTAAGACCTTTCTCTTTTTTTGGAATTCTTATTTTTTCAATCTTTTCTGATTGGATGTTTCTTCCTTCTGGTTCACACTGTTGATTTGAGTCCCAGTTTCCTTCCCATCACTATTGGTTCCCTGTATATTTTCCTTTATCTCACTTAGCATAGCCTTCATTTTTTCATCTAATTTGTGACCAAATTCAACCAATTCTGTGAACATCGTGATTACCAGTGTTTTGAACTGTGCATCTGATATGTTGGCTACCTCTTCATCGCTTAGTTATATTTTTTCTGGAGCTTTGATCTGTTCTTTCGTTTGAGCCATTTTTTTTTGTCTTGATGCACCTGTTACATAGTGAGGGGCAGAGCCTTAGGTGTTCAGCAGGACAGGGCAACACATGTTGCTGTGTTGTGAAGCTGTGTGTGGGGAAGGGCTTTGAGAGGGAACAATGGCACTGGCTCTGTTCTTTTCCAGCTTTAGTCACTTCCCCTGCTTCCCACAAGCAAACTGGGCCCTTCTGATGCTGATTCCTGGGTGAGTTGGCTTGTGTATATTCTAGGACCCTGTGGGTCTCTCCAATGAACTTTCTTGTGAGTCTGGGAATTTCTCTCACTGCTGCCTCTACCCTCACAGGTGTTTTTAATCAGTGGTTTGAGGCTTCAGTTCCCTACTCTGGAGCTCTGGGTTGTAAGGTCTGTCTTGCTCCCCAATTGCTCCTCCTGGTTTATCTGCATGCGAATGTGGGACTGCCCGCTCCACCAGCCGCCACTGTAGCCTTGCCAGCCAGCTGTAGCCTTGCATGCCCTGCTCCACAATTTGGCACTGGGTCTGCCAGTCACTGCCTTGCCTGCTCTGGTCCTCCAGGACAGCCACTGCCTTGCTGCAAGTCCTCTCTGAGCACCCATCTCTGCTTCCTACTGGTCTGAATGAGTATGTCTTCTTTAACTCTTTGGTTGTTGGACTTCCATACAGTTTGATTCTCTGTTAGTTCTGGTTGATTTCTGTTTTTAAATTGTTGTTGTCCTTGTTTTGGTTGTGCGAAGAGGCACAGTGTATCTACCTATGCCTCCATCTTGGCTGGAAGTCCTGATACTTTTTGTTTCTGAATGCAAGGATTTGACACTCTTGCCCTGGCTGAGTGGTTCAGCTGGTAAGAATATTGTCCCAATATTACTGACATGTCTCCTAGAGCAAGGGACATAGAGGAAAGAATAAACAAATGGGACCTCATCAAAATAAAAAGCTTTTGCACAGCTAAAGAAAACAGTATCAAAATAAA